ATATATATATATATATATATATATATATATAAGTTTATATAAATATAAATAAATGTATATCTAAACTAATTTATCGGTGATCCACTACCGAATTTAGCAGAGAAGCTTGTTGTATTTTTGATACCATTCTTCACTGGTGAAGTTATAAAAAACTGCTTAGTAACCAATCTATGCTTGTAAAATGCAGGAAAAATTTTTTGGCTTTAAATTTCCTTTAGGTGACCTGCCGAGCGAGTGACTGAGTCACCATTTATTGATGCATCTGAGTAAATCTTCCAAAGATGTCGACGTTAGACAATAAATCTAAATTTTTAGTTCTTATCACTGGCCAGCTGACAACAGCTGAGGTACCATTAAAACCATAATAGTCTTCAGCAAACAGCCTCCTTTTTATGCCATCAAAATTTATTTTTTCTTAAAATCATAAAAGTCTATAACAACATATTACTTCCGGAAGACACATCTTGAATTGATGACTTTTCTAGTTCCCAACATCAGACGAATTTTACTTCAAGTATGCATACGTTTATGGTAGTGAATGGAGCCAGATTGCTGGACTCGAAGAAGGTTTGAGCTCACGATGTCAAAGAAACAGTTACTCACACCACCCCATATCGGTCGCCCTACCGATCGAAGCAACGTTTACATCAACCAAACCATACGGTTGTAAGTTTCCTAGCTTTCAATTTTGAAGCTTTTCACCGCAGCAATGCCTTTAGGGGCAGAAATAAATGTTTACCTTTAAAGGGCCTCAAGTGGTTATAAGCTGTTATGGAACTGACACCTTGGGGAATGACATTATTAAAGGTTATGGAGCAACACATGTACCAACAATGCCAGGAAGGTAATAAACTGACTACTACTTCAGTGCTTTCGCACTTGTCAAAGTTCATTTTTCTGCAGGTCCTTAATAAAGATACCACTGTTTGTCCCTGAACCTTCTACGCATCTGCAGAAGTTCCTTGGTTGGATCACCGGCAAAAGACCGGAATTTACAGACTTCAGAGTAGTAGCTTCTAGCCAGGGAAGACTAGGTATGGTTACGAATGGTGTCGGTAGACGTCCAACTCTAAAAAAGAATTCTATTTAAGTTACCCGCGTAAGGAGCCAAGGGTTAGTTAACTTGGACGTACAAGTCATTCTGAAAGACTTGAAGAAGTTGGGGTATTCCTTCGCGCCAGAAATAAACCCGCAATTGCCCGAACACCACTTCCAGTCATCCAAAAAAGAAGTAAGTGCATTATACCTGCACGTTTCTTGAATTTTGAAACGCAAAACTCCCTCTAATAAACTCCAAAAGCTTAACAAATGACCTCTTACACCACCTGAAGCCAAAACAAAAAGTAGTTTCAAACCTTTCAGGATAGAAACGCTAAAGACCTGACCGAACCAGAAAGCTCAACTCCATCTTCTCCAAAACAACAACCAAGAAGAAATCTGCCCCTTCCACCAAAAACCTCCAAGCCCAACGAAGAAACTGTCATCGTAGCTGTAGAGCACAACAACCAATCATAAATTTCTTTCTTAAACAATGTTTCCTCATCGCGCAATAGCACTCTTCGTAGCACAGCGACGGTCACTAATTCTTATTAGCAATGTGAAATGTGTCTCATAAACAACATAACAATATTTAATCCTCTTTATCAAACACTGAAACAACGGCAAATTTCCACAACAAAGAATTGAAAACAGGAAGTCACACAATATCGTTACTCTCCTGTTTTCGCTCCCTGTTCAGCTTCAGCAATTTTATGTTGCGCCTCTTTCCTCTTCTGTGCCAAGCGTTCTTCACGTCGTTTACGTAACTCCTTATTCTTAGCACGTCGAGCTTCAGCTTGTTCTCTGTAAAGAAAATTATTTAAAATAACTCACAGACATTGCAAAAATAATCCGGACCACGTTTTCCTTTTTTTTTGAACAAAAAACTCCAATGCCGGTCTAATAAATTACTATTGGTATAGAAAATAAAGGCACCAAAAGCATCCCCAAAACAATCCTTTATGAGGAATCAAATCCTTGCACCAGTAAGGAGCAGATAAAAAAAATGTGGTTAAAGACCGAAATCAATAAAGACAAAGCAAATACTAACGCGATCTGTTTAGCTCTAGTGTTCTCTGTCTTTTTCTTGAAAATATACTCCATAAGATTGCGCTTATTTTTGAATGTATTGCCCTTAGCTCGTAAATATAGCTCGTGATACCTAAAAATAGAATTAAGATTGAACGACAAGGTGAGCCAGTCTGAAGAAGAAAATGGTTCTACAACAAACACTTAACATCTGAAGAAGATATATTTCATTGAAAGTTTGCTTACAAATGCTTGTCAATCTTCTTGGCCTCACGGTATCTCTTTAGTAAATGACGCAAAACCCGCATACGTCGTATCCATAAAACTTTCTGGGGCATACGCGCATTTTTCGTACCTCTTCTTTTACCAAAGCCCATATGCCTTCCCTATACGAAATATTATTACAGTAAGAAGACGCAAAAAAAAGTTTCTTTTTGATATAACTGGTCTAATTATTCATTTATTCGAAACTTCAAGTGAATTTCAGAAAAGTTTATATAGGCAGAAAAAAGTTAGTGAAGTTAAAACGTAATAGCTTTGTATACAAACAGTTTGGGCTATGAGAAAAAAAAATCTAGCGTTTCACTGCATCATTAAAACGAGATGAAAGTAACGAGACGAATTTGCTGAGACGACGACCTGGTGCGAAATGGACGGTTAAAAACAAACCTTTCTGCGGGCTTCTAACTTCTTACGTGCGCGGTATCTCGAGTGAACGGTAACTGGTTTACGTATAATTAAACCGTCTTTAATAAGCCTCCGAATATTTTGCCGTGAATTTGCATTAGAAATTTCATTAACCTCATTAGGATCCAACCACACCTTCTTTTTGCCACATCTGAGGACGTCGGCAGCAAGCCTCTTTTGAAGGCGAAGATTGCTAGAACAGTACCTTTTAATTAAGATGGAAACTAGACTAACCTACTGTACCTCTAACTTAACAAGTGGATAATGTAAGAGGAAAAAGAATTATTCTGCGTTAACCGACACGAAATCCCACCGCTTGGAAACCGAATTAAAAAAAAAAAGTTTCCTCGGGATAACAGATTTAGGAAAGCGTTACGAAACAGGTAGAATATTTTCAAAACTTTTTCTAGCAAAAACTGCATTTCTAGAAAGTTTTCTTCCTGCTCAATCTTTTCGACAAAAAACTTGATCCCTTTTTTTGCTCTATGATTCTCTTACAGGGACTGGTAGTAATGGCATCTCTTCGAACGACCTATCATACACAAATGTGAAAAAACGGCAAATGAAAAAGATGATGAAGGCTAAAGCAATATACCTCACAAGGTAGCCCCAAGGTAAATTTTAAACCTCACCAGCGTATCTACTGTCCCAAGTAACTTTAAAAAATACAGCTAATCGGGGAGCAAACACGTTTCTTCCGCCTATTCCCCATATCCAAGCCATCCAATGTACAAAAAAGTTTAAAATGAGCGGAAAAAAGTGGACTCTTATAAAAAAGGCTAACCGATACAAATTATGACCACAAATTACTACGAATTATAAGGTGCAAAGTTTAGTTTCCTTGAACGCAGAAATAAAAAAATAATAAGCTTCACTTTCATCCACGAAAAGTCATAAAGTAAACAGCCATTTCATTTAAAGAATAAAGTCCTCAACTGAAGACCCCATTAAAAGCAAATACTTAAACGCATTACTGTATAAACTGCAGTTCCACAACTAAATGCCCAAAAAACAAATTTGATCACCGCTTGAATTAAAGTACCCAGGGTGGGTCAAAGGGCAAAGTCCTCAAGGACAGTAATCATGACATTACAACAGAAAAAGAAAAGA